GTATGTAACTACAACAAAGAATAAACACATGTACTGGTATGAAACTACAACAAAGAATAAACACATGTACTGGTATGAAACTACAACAAAAAATAAACACATGTACTGGTATGTAACTACAACAAACAAATTGTAAAGTAGTTCTCAAAGGACAATCTTGAAGGCAAAGATTGCATCTTCACAGATGTAACGACCGCCTTCCATCAATGTCACAGTGTACTGTAATAAAAGACGAGCAGCAACAAAGCAATCTCATAAGAATGGAATAATGTTTCTTCGAGGATAATAATGGTCCAGCATGGCCTGGTGGTTAGGGCGCTTGACTCGCAATCTGAGGGTCACGGGTTCGAATCACCGTCCCACTAAACATGCTCGCCCTTTCGGCCATGGAGGCGTTATAATGATCAATCCCACTTTTCGTTGATAAAAGAGTTTGTGATGATGACTAGCTTCCTTCCCTCTAGTCTTTCAATGCTAAATTAGGGACGGCTAGCGCAGATAACCCTCGTGTAACTTTACACGAAATTCAAACCTAAAACTAAGATAATACAACACATGCTCACCTTGTTGGGTCTACATGACACACATGTATGTTTTTCACTGCTGTGAGCAAGTGTGTGCTAAAATATGGCGACATAAATAATTCGTGCAAAATTGGACAACAGCGACACACTTAGCATAAGTCGCCAGTTATCAACAACATTTACAACTTCTACCTTAACGCCATCTATTTAAAAATAGCAATAGCTATATGAAATAGTGTTATATGCAGTGGCAATAAATACTGAATACACATTCACGATTTCAGTTAAGTATAAGAAACAGTAGAGTAGAAAATTATATTGGTAATCGTTCACTGTTAAAAACTTGCTGAAATATAGTCACGGAAATCCACGTAGAGACAGCAAACTCGAGTAATGATGAACAATAGTGACTCTAGTAAAGATATGTAACATCAAGATGGGGAACCTTTCACGTGACAGTTTCAATTTAATGTGCTAGAAAATGCACGAGTTATAGTTTCCTGCTCACGTACACACGAGGAAAACACCGGATTTTTTTATGGTGGCAAGTGAAGGCCTCATAAAATTTTGCAGCACGATAAAATTAAGGAGGTCGAATTAAGTTTAAAGGTATTCTTCGTTACACGATATTATTAGCTATTTAGATAGGCAGCTTAACATATTTAAATATAATTTTAACCAGGATGATAGGCAGATTAACTTATGTAAACATAATTTCAACCAGGATGATAGGCAGATCAACTTATGTAAACATAATTTTAACCAGGATGATAGCCAGATTAACTTATGTAAACATAATTCTAACCAAGATGATACGCTGATTACCTTGTTTAAACAATATTGTAATTCATCTGGTTGGTAGGCAGTGTTGATGTTAACCTGGAACAAGAAAATTTCATTATATTAAACAATATAGGAGATGTACTTACGTATACTACAACAACAATATTCATATATTGTTGTTGTAGTATACGTAAGTACATCTCCTGATGTACTTACGTATATTACAACAACAATATAGAAGATGTA